AGAGGTGTGGGGAGGTGTGAGGGGTGGGGGAGAGGTGTGAGGAGGTGGGGGGCAGTTCAGGGAGGTGTGGGAGGATATGGGGGAGGTGTAGGGGGAAGTGGGGGGTCAGAGGAGATATGGAGGAGGTGGGGGCAGTGGGGGGAGGTGGGGAAGGGTATAGGGGAGGTGGAGGGGTGGGGGAAGTGCAGGAGTGAGAGTGGGGGTAGGGGGAGAGAGATGGGGGAGGGTATGGGAGAGGTGTAGGGGGTAGGGGGAGATGTGAGGGGGTTGGATGAGATATGGGGGAGGTGGGGGACAGTGGAGGGAGGTGTGGGAGGGTAGGAGGTGTAGGGGTGTGGGAGAGGGAGGAGGTGAGCTATGGGGGTGTGAGGTGAACAGAGGGCACAGATGAGCTGTCTGAAAGGGGAGAGTGTGAAAAGCATGATGATGGACAGGTTCTGGGGATGGCTGGCCACAAAAACAGGAACTAGGAGAAAAATAACTGCGTCCCTTCCTATACCTGTCCTGCCTTCTCCCTATCCCCACGGGCATCTTTCCATTCTTTCTGCCTTTATAGAAAGCCCTAAGGAGATGGAAATTCTATTAACACTTCTCTCTGCTCCCCAGGCCCCCCCCCAAAGCAGAGAAAAAGGAGACATGTAGACTAGCAGGCATGTCCAACGTCTGACACGGCAACATGATTGTTGTCTACCAAGTTCACACTTGAGAACTGAACAACCACAAAATCACAAAGTAAAATCTTACAACGTTTTAGATAAGTTCACGATTTTGCGTTGGGCCACACTGACAGCAACATGTGGCCCTCTGGTGTTAGACATGTTGGCTAAGGGAGCCGGCAAGGGAGGGGAACAAGGAACTCAAACAGAACTCGAATACAGGAAGGGGCTGCCGTGGGAGGCAGTTGTTGGACCTGTTCCACCAGAGAGCTAATGAGACCTGGCCTCGGGCCAGGCAGAGGGAGCTAGGGCTAGGACAGTCAAAGCCAAGATCTGAGCTCCCAACAGCTGTCTACAGACCTGGACAGAAGCACCTGAGAGCTGGCACAGACTCTTTCCAGGATCGACAGACCCTTAACAGGAGCCTCTGTGGGTAAAGCCTGGGGCTCAAGACTTCTTATGAAACCCTAATGTGATTCTAGCATGCAGAGGTTAGAATCGGATTAGGGTCATGACTACTGAGGTCAGCTACCCAGGGAAGCATGCTAACAGAGCACGCCGCCCCAACATGCATTGTTATTGTTCTCCTCTTTTCCATCTCGCGACAATCTTGAGTAAGCCCTGATGGTTCAAGCCTGTAATCCAGCAATTTAGGAGGCTGAGGCAGGAGGATCACAAATTCAAGGCCTGTCTGAGCTACAGAGGTAGTTCAAGATCAGCCTGGACAGCTTAGTGAGACCCTGTCTCAAAATAAAAGGTAAATAGGGGGTTGGGGAACTGGGTGTGGTGGCACACACCTCTAATCCTAGCACTTGGGAGGCAGAGGCAGGTGGCCCTTTGTGAGTTGGAGGCCGTGGTCTGCTCCAGCCTCAAAACCAAACAAGAACAAACAAACAAGAACACTACCCCCCAAAAGAGTTGGTGGGGGTGACTTGGTAATCAAATGCATGCTCAAGGTCCTGGGTTCAATCCCCACTCTGTGGCCTCTATGATAAAGATGCTATTCACTTTGCAAAGGAGAAAACAAGGCCCATAGGAGTGTAGCTTACTGCTAGGGTCATTAGCTAATTAGGTTAGAATTCACCACCAGGTCATCAGACCCTCAAGCCCACACCCTCTCCTCTCTCCTGGCACTTCCAGAGAAGCGAGGTGACAGGCAGATACACTGATTCAAAGGTTTCTTGCAGGAAAAATGATTGCTTGCACACAGGACACCTGGCAAGTCTGAGTGATACCCTACTACCCTTTCATAATGTTGGAGGCTCCAGGGACCACAGATCCCAGACAATAAGCCACAGCAGAACTTGCCTCACCCAGCTCTGAGTTTGTGGGCCAAGGAAGATGGAGTACCTGAGGGTGCTCCCCCAGGGGCAACATGATTCCCTGACAGTGGGAAGATACCATTCCAGGGCTCAATAATATAAACTGTCCAGAAGTAGGAAGGCACCCATTCCCCAGCCCTGGCCCCCAAGGTGAACACACTTAAGGGTACAGGGCAAGGGTGTTGCCTGGTCGTGAGCATGGTAGGGAATAAGAAAGGCAGTCACCACGAGGCCTTCCTTAGAGGGGCAATGTGAGGTCAGGGTCCGGGGCTACAGGAACTTGTGAGTTCAGGTCCCTGAGTCTGTCGTCTGTCGGTAGACTCTAGGCTGAGAAATGTCAGGAATCCTTCTCATTCTAAAACACCCCCTGTAGGTTGGGAGTGCTGCGGGCCTGAGTATCTCTAGGCCATGCCCAAGGTGAAGTGGCAAGATTCCCACTCTAGATCCACAAGCCCCTGGCAGACACCCCCACTCTCTTCCCCCAAGCAGCAGCCATAACCGGCAGCCCCAGACCCACCGCCCGCAGAGGAGGGGGCCCGTGCAATCGCACAACCCCGTGAGAAGCATGTGCAAAGCAGAGGTGGGGGTGGGAGAGGGCAGGACATGCAGTTGTCACAGAGGCAGAAGCATCTCGCACTGACCTTGAAGCTCCAGTAGTTTGGTTGCTGATGGAAATAAGAGAAGAGATGGTTATAAGGGGCTGCCAGGGGAGTGGGACAGGGACGGGTCAGAGACTCTCTCAACCCTGGGACACAGGCCTCCACCCTCTGGGAAACAAAAACAGCAGGCAATGCCTGTGCCTCTTAATTCTCCCTTGAGGCTGGAACCTTCTGGGTCACAAAGGACGGCAGGTTCCATATTTGCTGGTGTAGGAGCAGGATAGAACGTTCCAGATGTTTTAAGTGTATTTCTAGCCATAGAAATTAACCTCGGAAAGAGCTACAGGTGAGAAAAAGTATAGATGACTGCCAAACCGGTCAAAGGTTTGAGGGGAGGGTGTCAATAAATCTGAGTAGCGGGACCAGAGGGATGGTACTCCCTGTGGGAGACCAGGGTAAAATGTCCCAGAAAAGATGGCCTTCCAGCTCAGTTGGGAAAGAGAAGAGCTGGAGCTGGAGTCTGGGAAGAAAGGTGTGCTGAGAGGAGTAGCTAGCTTAAGTCGGTACCCTGGAGCAGGCAGGGGGGCTGGGAAGAAGCAGAAGGAGTGAGGAGGGGTCAAAGGTTGTTGCTGGATGCTAGGCAGCCTCCGACAGGGAGGTAGTAGACAGATCAAAGTACAGAAAACACAGGAATGGAACGTCTGATGTAAAAAGGTACCCCAGTAGGGCTGAGGGCAGGGAGTAGATGGTGGTGGCTGGGACCGAGGCCAGGGTAGGCAGGCCTGTGTGCCAGGATGTGCAAGGATTGTGGAGAATAGTGGAACAATGACCAGTGACCTCTGGCACTTGTCAGTGGATGGGGAGCTTGGGCAGCACTTGGAGCTACAGAGGTGGCAGAGAAGAGTTTTAGGGGGCCTGAGGCTTCTCTTAGCTTTCAGTAACCCAGGGTCTCTCTGCCCTCCTTAGAGACCAGAAGGCCCTTCCAGATGGCCAGCAACAAGGGAAGGACAGCCCCGAGGGCGGGCTGGTTCTTGGCAAAGCTGAGGATACCCTGCTGACCGGTGCCAGCCTCAGCAGGAGAACAGAGGCAGCAGATGGCCTGGCCCCAGGGTGCCTGGCACGAGCAAGATGCCCCCCAGCTTCAGAGCCACTGGCAGAGGAGAGGGACCCTGAAGGTTCCTGCAGGGAGGGCTACCATGCTGTGGCGCCCTGCAGCCCCTGGGGATGCTGTAGGGGCAGGGAGGAGCTTGGGAGGTGGTAAGGATGGCTACTGCTGCGTAGACTTTATCCTGACAGCTCTTTGGGGTGGGGATGATGACAGTCTGGGTCTGGAGTAGAGTGGTGCCAGGGGATGCCTTCAGGTATCACAGGAAGGGACAGTGTGGCTTAAAGACTTGAGCCATAGCTTCTGTGTCCTTGTATAGAAAGGGAAGCAAAGAAAGTAAAGAGACAGCAGAGTCAGGCTGGGGACTCGAAAAGGTTTATGTTGAAAGTTATGTCTGCAGACCAGGAGTGATGGACGGCTCTGCAGAGAAAGCCTCCTGCTCCCCGCCAACCCCACCGTAGGCACAGGAGCCCTCCACCGCTCCCTGAAACATGCATGTCATTCCTGCAGTGAGCCGGCAGACTCAGACACATCCTTGGGTAGACAAGGATGTCACAAACATGTCCAGAACAACAAACACCCACCAAGGTGCACAGCACTTAGGGAAGCCATGAGAAATGGCCCCAGAAACACCACAACTTGAAGACATCCACACAGACACCACCCTATTCAGATCTATGTGGACCTCCAAGGACCATAGCTAGAGCTATACCCAGTCAAAGACATAGATGGTGGCAAGACCAGTCACGCCCACCTGCAGCACATCACAGGGCCACAGAGGCATGGACACCCATTCACACACATACACAAACACTAGCTACAAAAATATGCACAAAATAGTACACAAGGACCAGCAAGACCTCTCAGTGGGTAAAGGTGCTGGCTGCCAAGTCTGATGATCTGAGTTTGATACCTGGCTCCCACATGGTGGAATGAAAAAAACCAACTCCCCTACACTGCCTTCTGATTCACACACACACACACACACACACACACACACACGCACACACACACACACCATGACAAGCATATATCCTCTCCCATACACATGTATACTTAATAAATATTTTTTTCATTAAAGCTATATATGAAATACACACAGATTCAAAAAAAATGTCCTTTCTCTGCTCCCCCTCTACTAGCTGGGTCAGGACATTTATGTTACCTCTGGCCCGTATCCAACGGCTACGATGGTCCTATCATCGTGTATCTGAGAGTTGATTTCCTGAATCAAGAAAGATAAAAGTTGTCCCATCCCTAATCCTGCCATCAGTCTCAGCACAAGGGACTCAAGGTATCTGGGACAGATGACTGGTATTTGTAGAAGATGGTCAGGCAAGACGTGGCTATAGCCACACTGACCGTGCCCTCACCGTGGCTTCCAAGCCTGTACACACCCACTCATCAGTACCAGGAAGGCTTGGGTCACAAACAGGCCCAAGGGAGAGAACAGGGTGGCATCAGTATCTGGGAGGGACCATCCTAGTTCTGGGAAGGGTACAGATAGAAGAGAAGCTATATTTATGTTTGGGGGACTTGGATGGACAAATGACACTGTCACCCAGCCATAGGACTTTATGGTTCTGAGTGCCTGAGTGCCGGAGCCTCCTCAGTGAGCCCTGCCTCCTTCCTTGGTCCTCCCTTCAGATTGGGAAGAGGGAGCCTTTCAGTGGCCTCAGCAGGAACCAGGTACATGGTCTCCAAGCAACTCTCTGTCCTTGGAGGGGAAAACTGCAGCAGGGAGAAGCCCCCAGGGAGATGGGCCATCATCTACACTTTCAGGTGTGAACCCAAAGGACCAGCCCTGCTGATAGGGAGCAGAGGCTCCTCCTCTATTGTGCAACAGAGACACCTCTGGTCCCCTCCCTCCGCTTACCCCCTTCCTGGTTGTAGGTTCTTCAGCCTGTGTCCAACACATACCTGCTATGTAGCAATGCCCTCAACAAATCCATGGCAATGAATACATGCCAACCGGGCAAACCAGGCAAGGTTGACAGGGAAGGAGTTAGCTCAAACTACTAGGCTTGGCCCCACTCCCTCCATTTCCGGGCCTCTGCTGTTCTGAGCCGCCTTCTGAGACTGTCACAGGTCTAACCCTGAAAGAATGACAGGGATGTGGTGGTGCATGCCTTTAATCTCAGCACTTGGGAGACAGAGGCAGGTGAATCTCTGTGAGTTCAAGGCCAGGTTACAGAACAGCCAAGAGCTACATAATAGACAGACCCTGTCTCAAAAATAAATAAATAAATAAATAAATAAATAAATAAATAAGGAGGAACAGGGGAAATCTGAATCCCTCTGCTCTTTGCTCACCAAAGCCAAGCTGTAGGGGCTGTAGGGGCAGAGCTAGCCTTCTCAGCACTGAGGGAGGACGAAAGAAAAGAGCTGAACAGGAGAGACTGGCAGAACCCACTGCTGATAAGGTGGGTTTGCAGGAGCTAGGGTAAAATGAGAACCAACTATCTCTCAGGACCAAGCTTTTTAGCCATGGGGGAGAAGACTTCCCCCAGGGAACGGAGGAAGTAAGCTAACCAGCCCCCTACACACACACACACACACACACACACACACACACACACACACACACAGAGGCAGTGGAGGAAACAGCTTTTTCCTTCCCAGCTGAGGAGTTAACCCCTATCACTCCTTTCCAGTACTTAGTCTTGGGTTGTCCCTCCCCCTAGAGCTGGCCCTCCTCCGCCCACTCCAGCTTGGGAGAGGCAGGACAGATCCCCATCCGGACCTTACCACAACCCTTCCCCTTCCCCTAGGCAGAGGTCCCGGAGTAGGCTAAGTGTCCCCATGACCCCTTCTTGACCTCGGGCCCCGAGGGAGCATCCTCCAGAGAGGAAGGCAGCCCACGAGTCGCACCCCCTTCCTTCGTCCCCAGACTGGCGCACACACCCACTTCCCAACTAACGTGAACCCGAGTCCGTGTAAACGCCCGCTCCCAGCCTAGGGCTACGCCACGCGCCTTGTGGCCGCCAGCCTGCCACCGCCAAGCCGCGCACGGCCCTCCCCCAGGGGTTTGCAGCGACACCCGCAGCTCCGAGCCCTGCGGAAGCTGGGTGTGCGGGGAGGGAGAGCACTGCAGGAGCCGCGCGGCGCCTGGGGCCCGGGGCGCACCCCGGGAAGGTCATGACTTTCTGAGGTTGGGGGAGGGGGCGCCTGCCGCATTTGGGGGGTGAGGGCCGACACCTGCTGCGGTGAGGAAAGGGAGGGGGCGTTCCTCCGAGATCGGGAACCCGCTGCGGTCACGCGCCCCGCACCCCTAGACTATCCCTCGGAACCGCGGATCGGGACCCGATCTCCAGGTCCCCGCCTCCCGCGGAACCCCACAGCTTCTCGTCCTTACCTGCGGCCACAGGTGCACGCTCCAGCCCGGGTCCCGCGTCGGGCGGGGGAGGGAGCACGGCCCGCTACTCCCACCCGCGCGGGCTCTCCCCTCCCCCGGCCGCCTCCGCAGCCGCCGCCGGTGCCCTTTGCTGCAGTGCGAGAGCGGCCGCCGCCGAGCCGGCCCGGGCCCCGGTCGCCCCGGTAACCGCGACTCCACCTGGCGCGGCGCGTTGCGCCGCCGTGCGCATCCCCTCTCGGCCCCCTCCCGCGGCGCGGCCCCGCCGGCGCAGCCCCGCCGAAGAGCAGAGGAGGCTAGTGGCTGCGTCGCCGCGGTCACCCGATACGCCGGCCCGCCGCCCGGGACTCGGGTTGCAGCAGGAGGGAGGGAGGTTAGACAGCCTAGTGGAAGCGCGGGGGGAGGGGCTGCGGCTTGGTCTAACCTCTGGTTCCTTCCCAGTATCCTCCTCACTGCCCCCATCTCCAAAGGTCTTAGTTACCCCCACCTTCGCGGCCCTTAACCTCCTCTCAGCAGCGCCCCTCTGCCCCTTTAATCCTCCCATGACTTAATCCCCGACTGAGTCTGGGAGGCCTAGAATGTCTAAGTTTCCCTGTTGGCCTTTGATCGTGCCTTGCTGTGTGATTCTGGTCCTTTGCTGCCTGTCTCTGTGCCTTGGCTTTACAAAAATGAACCTCAGACTTATCCCTGGTGGGGAGGAATATGATACACTGTATCAAGAGATGAAAAGATCCTGGGCTTACTATGTAGCTCTGAGGCAAAGGTCCCCCACAAACTCTCCTTCCTCCATCAGAGTGTAATTCCAGACAGACAGACTTTCACTCCATCACAGGACACAACTGAGTGTCATGTCTGACAATGAGGCTCCAAACCCTGCCCCCAACACTCCATCTAAGGGACCTGAGGCACCAGGGACTCGCCTGTCCATCCTGTGCCTGTCATCTGTCCTTCACTATGACTGTCCCAACCCTACCATCAGCCTGTGGTCGCCACCACACACGTGGCCACTCACGACAACTCTCTCCCCCCTGTCATCCAGCTTTAGGAACAGGCACATCCCTGTCCCTGTTCCCCAAGTTCAGCCAAAATGGGGCTGAGAGCCAGACAGGACTTGGCTCTGTGCCCTGAGAATGATACCAGCGTGTCAAGCTGTTACTAGACAAGCTTCTCTCAGCCCAGGTGCCCCAGCTCTGGAGGCTCATCGGATCCTAGCTGGTCACAACATCCTTTTATTTTCCTTTTGAAAGTCCAGCCTTGTCACACTCGAGTGCATGAAGAACTGGACCTCTTCCACTCAAAGAACTGGCAGCCACTGCCCTTCTCCTACCTACTATGGTGGCCATCAAGTCCAAAACTCCATGGCTCCAGGTACAGCTAGAGTTCCTGGTTCTCCCATGCCTGTTACTTCTCCCCTGGCAGTGTGCAGGCCTGAGCTGGGAGCACATGTTGAAGTATATCCTCCTATCAGGGAAAATGAGGCCCAGTGAGGAATGGGGAAACAGGATCAGAAGCAATAGCTAGATGCCCTAGTTCTTTTCAAAAATTGCAAGAAGGGAGAGAGAAAGACACCACCCAGAACTTCCTGGTGGTCAGATGGGGGAAGGCAGGCTCCACTCAGAACCAAGACTGGGACATAAGACAAGAACAACAGACTCCTGGGAGCCCAAGGAACAAGACTAGGTCCTCTTGTTTCAAAGAGAGAAATAACTATTTGTTGGTTGGTTTGTTTTGAAATTGTAACTATCCCTCAAAAGGTTCCAGCTAGATTTGGGGAGGCAGTTGTACAGAGTCAATCAGGGGATGTGAATACGGGGTGTGGGGGTTTCTTGAAAGTGGAGGGTTTGTACATAAAAGAGATGGGGTCCAAAATAAAAATTCTCTATGTCCCCCCTTACAAAAAAAGGGCCTCCCCAAAGCCAAGCTCCACCATGGATTTTGCAGGGAGATGGGTGGCTCACCTGGGCAGGCTGGCCAGCCCCTGAGGGGGTGGAGTCGCCGTGGAGGTGGGAACAGAGGGAGCTGAGGAGGCACACAGGGTCCACGGTCCAGCCGCCGACCTGTGTGTGTGAAGCAAGGGACACCCCATTAGGGGGAGCGGTCAGGAACCGCTGGGAGTGGAACCAGACAGGGATGGATGTTCCCAGGGCCAGCTCTGGCATAAGGAAGGGGGCCAGAGTTATGGTGGGACCTTCATAGTGGCTGGTACTCTAACTAGGACGCCAAGTTTTTCTGCATGTCAGACAGCACAGGGCTGTCCCCACCGGAGAGAATCCTGATTTCCAGTTCCCAGCTGCCTCCTTGTAAACTCCTTCAGCATCTGCCTCCTCTCCTTCCTAAACAGGACACCTAAGACCTTGCAGTGATGGAGATCACTGGGCAGAAGTGACTTCGACCCTGCAGTCTCTGCCATCTTTGTAACACTGGCTTCCTGCTCCTACCCAAGGCCACCAGATGCGACTCCTCCAATGGTGTTTCCTCCTGCCCCTGGCCCTCTGGCCCCAGAGTTTTCTCTCTGCCAACCAACCATCCCTGCTCCAAACGTCCTCCCTGCTTCACATCACACTGCACCATGCTTGGGGACGCTCTGTCCGACTGAAAGGGCCCTGGGTCCTACCACTGAGTCTCTAAAGGAGCAGATGGGGCAGGACAGAGGAAAGGCATGAACCCAAGCATCTCTGGGCTTTCATTCAGGACAGAAGCATTCGCTAACTGCTTACTGAGTGTTCACCAGCCTCCTCCTACACAAGTGCTCATCAACACGCTTGGTGCCCCTGGCTACTCTCATCTTTTTTTCTGCTAAACCTCCCAGACATCTATGTACCCAGGGTGTCCAGTTCCTCACTATACCTGGTCTCCAAACTACTGAAACTGGCCATGGCTTCTGCTTACCCCTGCCCAGACACTACCCAGGCGTCTGAGTCTAGTCACTGATGCCCACGGCTCCTCTCTGACCATTGCATTCCACTTTAATGGTCTTTCCATGACTTGCTCTCACCTCTGCCCCTAACTTGACTGCTCCAGGTCGCCTGAAGCCACGGTCCTCCTGGAGTCCAGAAGTGTATATGAGGTGTCCATTTGGCACCCTGGGAAGGTCCTCCCCAGCTTCCCACCCTGTCCCCATGACTCTCACCCATTTCTGTGTCTTTCTCAGGGACTGATAGCTCCCTGTCAGTTAAGCGTTTCTTTTTAGTTCTCACGTTAGGTCTCATGTAGCCCAGGTTGGTAGCTGAGGATAGCCTTGAATCTCTGATTATCTTGCCCCCCCCCACACACACACACCCCAGAGTAATGGGATTGCAGGCAGGCACTACTACAGCTGGTTTGTGCAGTGCTAGGAATCAAACCCACAGCCTCTGGGATACCAGCCCAGCACTCTGTACCAGCTGAGCCTCATCCCCAGCCTTTAGCTATGTCCTCCCTGCCCGCTGCCCCACCTCACAGATCCAGACAACCAACAACCCTTGCTCAGTCTCCCCTCCCCGTCTGTCCAGACCCCCTTTCCTTCCTCTCCTCCTTCCCCTGCCTCAAGCCACCCTACTCTCAGCTTCAGTTTACTGTTTATAATAAATACAGCCCTCGTGGGCTCTGCTGGCCCACCCTGCTTTACCAGCCTGGCTACTCCACGGCAAACCTTTCCATCTATCCTCAGTCTCAGTTCCAGCTAGAGGGACTTTTGTGTCATGCCCCAAGTCCACTCAAGCCCGTGCTGCTTTCCCAGTACCTTCTGACACAGCATTTTATTCCTCTGTTCAAACCCTTTCACCCCTGCTAGTCTTCATATAGGGACCACTTCCTCCAGGCACCCTTCCCTAGGGAACACTTCCTCCAGACAGCCTTCCTATCAGGCCTGTACAAATGATAATCTCTGATCCTAACGCTCCTCCCAGCTGACCAGGACACTCATACAGTGTTTAATCCCCACCCCAGCTAAGGAGCTAAGGGATCTACCCGAGTCTAGAACTCCTTCTGATCTTCACCAACCTGGACCCTGTTCCCAGGGGGACTTTGGAGCCGGGAAAATGCAAAAGCCAGACAGACCTAGAGAGGATGTCTGGGGGCAAGCAAGGTCCCAGAAACATGGCAGTGGGTCCTCGATCTCTGAATGAGGGGGAAATGTCCCTCCCCATCCCTAGCCACACTGAGTGTGGCACCTGGAGAAGGAGCTGTGACCCAACACTCAGCGTGACTGAAGGGATGTTAATGGGTAGACTGTCCACCTTCTCCCAAAGGGGACAAGGCCTGAATTTCCCGAGCTGAGTGAGACTCACCAGCCACCATGGCTCCTTTGCCAACGCAGGGCTAAACACAGAATATTAGTCCTGGGAGAAAGCCATGCTGGAGCGGAGAGGGACATTAAGGAATCCAGGCTGGGGGGGCTGAGGAGGGGAGCACCCTTCTCCATGTAGGTCCTGGGCCAAAGGCAGAGGCCCCAGCCCCTCCCATCCCTAAGCCTTACAGGGGGCAGGAGAGAACGAAAAACACCAAAGTCCAGATCAGTCACAAAGCAACACAACCAGTCTGCGTTACTAGGAGGAGAGGTAGTGGCTCCAGTGCTGGGCTCTATTTAGGATAGGCCTGGGGACAGGTTAGATGCAGCCTTCCAAACCTCCCACGTCTGAAAGAGGTGCCACAAACCAAGCATTTCAGCTCTCCTACTGGGTCCTCAGTGCCCAAAGCTTCCTGCCCATGCCTTCTTCTCAATCATTCCTTTGGCCTCTGAGGCACGCCCACATTCTGCCCAAACCCACCCTCCAAGGTGACAAGCAGAAGGCAGAGACCTGGAGACTGGGCCGCACTCCTTTCTCCTCCAGGCTCCAGAAAAGACCAGAGGGCCCTGGAGACAAACTCCCCAACTCCAGAAGCCCAGTTCTTCCCCAGATCCCGATCCCTATAGAACCCGCCCCTGATCACACTCACCTGCTCTCGCATCCTGTCCTGCTGACCTCGCAGGGCCAGGGCATGCTGCGGATACTTGCTCTTCAGGTGGTCCATGAACGCATCTCGCTTTCGGTCAGCATCGGCCTTCTGGAGCCCGCTGAGGGCCTCCAGGCTCTGGGCAGCGATCACCGTGTGCCGGCGCTCGGAGGTATGCACCAGCCCCACGTTGGAGAAGCGCCGGCCCCCGCTGCCCCCTCCGCCCCCACCCCCCAGGGTCCGGTACTCCCGAGGGTACTCGGCATCGTCGGCAGACAGCATGGGGGGGCTGCTCCGCTCCGGATCTGCGAGAGGGGAAAGGATCTGGGGTCACCAAGGCTCCATGCCAAAGAGCTGCCCATCTCCCACAAGGGTCCCTGTGGGGCAGGGCGGGGACTGATGGGGTAGAGAGGCCTTTGGGAGATGAAAGGGGGGCAGGAGGGTATATGAGGTGAACTTAGAATTTGAAGTTGGGGGTGGTGAGCAGGTCCTGCGTGCAGCGTGCTCTTTCGTTTGCTTGGAGCAGGCAAGGGATGCTGTCAGGACAGGAGAAGTAAGGAGTATTGGAGGTGTCCAGGTCACCTCTCTAATTATACACTTGGCCCCCTTCCTAAAGACAGGGGAAAGAGTTGCACTGTGCTCTAGAACATTCTCTAAAGAGAGGCTGGACCCATGGGCACCCTCCCCAGACCTGTGCATTCAGGACCATATCCTCCAGCTGGGGGGCTATCTACCAGAGGGACCAGGGAATCATGGGTGGGGCAGGGTGAGGGCAAAGGTCAGTCACAGGGCTTCTTCCCAGGGATGAATGGAGGCCCAGAGTCTGGAGCAGAGAGACTCCCTTTCCCTCCCTCCCCAGAGACAAACAGATGGACAGACAGCAGAGGCTGGGCACAGAGAGGACAGTGAAAGATGGACAGGGAGAAACTTACAGGAGAAAGCAGGCAGACAAAACAGGTCGACTCCTCTCACCCCTTCCCCTATCTTCCCTCTTCCCTCCCCCTTTCAAGATCTCCTCACAACACAAGACCCACAAGTGACTGCACAGGGACAAAGACAGAACAGAAGTGGGGTGGGGGGAGGCCGGGGGCTGAGGTCTCCATGCAAATCCTCAATCCCCTCCCAAGTCCCCTCAGGCGCCTCCTCCAGCTCCCAGCCTTCCTCTGCCTAGCCTTGCTTTTCCCAGTCTCTAAGGCAGGCAGGCCCTCCTGGGTAGAGTTGTTTGCCCTGTCCCCCAGAGGTCATCCTATTGAGAGACAGGACTCTCCATACATGCCACCTGAGCTCCCCCACTCACAGAACGGCAACCCCTAAGCATGGTCTAGGTAAGATTGGAGCATCAAGCCCACCAGCCAGGTTTGCACCCACACCAGCATCGTTCCACTGCACAGCTCCTGGAAGGACAGACGGGGGCAGACGGAGACACGGCTGCGGCTGCGAGTCCTGGGACTTGGCCAGGTTCATGAGAGCCCTCTTCCCTCCACACAGCTGCTTACCAGGCCTGAAGCTAGACCACACTCACCCCAACGCCCAACCCCAGGGGCAGAAAAAGAGACGGAGCCACATTTCAAGACTAGTTACCTTAGCACCAACACACATACGCACATTCATGCGTGTGCACACACGTGCATACATACACTCAGAAGCACAGAGATACACAGAACCATTCCACCAGCAATACACTCAAGAAGAGCCACCACCAACAACAACACATGGACACACCATACTCAGTGAACCAACAGAGAGAAGGGAGGGGAGGGAAGGGAGAAGGAGAGGGGGAGAGGAGGAGAGGGAGGGAGGGAGAGAGGGGAGAGCGGGAGAAAAGGGGAAAAGAAGACTGAGAGGAGGAGAGGGGGAGAGGAGCCACCCTGACACATACCGCACAGGCTCCAGGCTATGACCCAGCCACGTGCATCTGGGGCTCATAACCCCAGAGGACCCAGCATTTCTCACTAAACCACAAAACCCAACAGCTCCCCTAGGGACTTCAATCACCTGCTGAAAGGGTCTCCCACCATTGCAGCCAGGGCTCTCAACACTCCTGTCTGGCAGGTGTTACTGTGGTCCCCATTTCAGACATGGCTGCCAAACTTCAGAAACCCAGTGACAAGTCCAAAGCTACAAGTGGCCAAGCCCTGGTGTGATCATCCCAATATCTGCTGGGTTTGCACTGACATACATTCCGGGCCCCATAACCCCAGGGAGTGACCACTGAGTATGCAACACACCACGGAGGCTTTCTTCTCTACTCATGGTCTCCCTACAACACTCAGGGCCTGAATCACCACCTGTGACCTGTCAGGTACCCTCTGTCCCTTTTACCACAGTTACCTTTGTGAGTCTCCTCAATGAGGTAGACACACAGTGATGAACCTGAATGAACCTGAAGACATTGTTTCTCTCTCTCTCTCTCTCTCTCTCTCTCTCTCTCTCTCTCTCTCTCTCTCTCTCTCTCTCTGTGTGTGTGTGTGTGTGTGTGTGTGTGTGTGTGATACAGAATTTATCAAAGAGTAAGTGTGGGCTGGACCTAGGCCCCCACATATAGGTGGTAGGTGGGCAGCTGGCTCTTCATGTGAGTCCCCAAACAACTGGAATGGGGGCCAGCCCTGAATCCGTTGCCTGCCTGTGGATCCCATTCTCCTAACTGGGCCGCCTTGTCTGGCCTCAGTGGGAGAGGATGCGCCTAGTCCTGCAGTGACTTGATGTGCCAGGGTGGGGTGACATGTGGGGGCTCTCCCTCTTCTCAGAGAAGGGATGGGGCATGGGAGAGGGGCTGTGTGAGGGTGGGACAGGGGGCTTCGACCTGGATATTAAAGTGAATAAATAAGTTAATGAAGAAAAAATATATAATTTATTTAACTATTTGTCTCTTGCTATATGCACTTCAGGCTGGTTCTGATCCTCCAGCCTCAGTTTCTCAAGGGCCAAGGTTTACAAGAGTGTTTTATATTTTATTGATTACACCTTTATTTTCATAAGGATCAGAGCAAATCTGAGGGACGAGGGCAAATCCCTGGTTTTATAGACATTATTCCTCAGAGTGGTAATAAGTTTCCTCTTAAGTATATACATCTTCAAGTTCAAAGTGAAGTTGTGTTAAATGAAGCAGTGCTGAATTGATACAGTGTAAACAGTTCCCTCATAACAAAAGAAATGGGGGATAAAGCCTGTTAAGTTGGGCTAGGAACACAAGGGGCATCTTCCTGACAGTCCAGGCCCAAGAACAGCTTGTGGCAGGGCAGGGCTGCCAGGGACTGAGGCTGATGTGCAGAGGAGCAGGCTGAGGGCTCTATAGGTGTGGATCCAACGTCCCTTCTCCTCCATGACACTAGAGAGTGGTACTCCACTGAGGATAGGCAAACAGGAGATCTCCACAGCTAAGGGCACTGGGCTCCTCCCTCTTTCCATGCCACATGTGTTTTGTCTGGCCTTCTTGCTAGACCTAACTCTGGGCCCAGACCACCTGGACTCCTGCTAGCCTGCTCTGTCCCTCAGGACTCTAGACACATATGAACTTCCCTCCTGACACCCCCCCCAACAGACCTCCTCCTTCACCCCTGTTCCCCACATCAGCCCTCCTTCCCCATCCCTGGGAGGATATCAACATTTCTAGTGTGGGGCAGATAATGTACTAGCCCAAGGCAGACAATGACCATGGGGAACCCTGGAAACTATCCAGCTCTCCCAGGATGGTGGTGGCAGGAGCGGGGGGTGGGGGGAGTGGAGGATGAGGGGTTCAATACTGCTGCACTTTAGGTCTGTAGTGGCTTCAATCTTTCCTGGTGACAGTTGGAAAGGAACTGATGAACAGGCTAGGGTATCAAGGAGAAGAGGGACAGGCACCTTTCCTGCCTCCTGGAGGACAGGGCGCACCTATCAGATGCCCAGGTACTAGACACTGGGGTTCAGGTTCAGGGGGTACTCTCTGGTAGGGGCAGAGGAGAGGTGGGGCTTGGATCTGAAAGGCTGCAGAAGCAGTTTAAGAACTTTGGAGACCCCTAGTGTTTTTGCTCAGAAAGAAGGTGAGGTAAACCCGGGGATCCTGACTTCCTGCTTGGGCCATGCATATCTCTTGTCTTTTTACAGGTGGAGTTGGGAGGACCAACTGTGGGCTGCAAAGGGAATAGTTAAAGGAGATTCATTTGTAGTGGTTCACTCGCTTTCTCTGTTTCTATGTCTCTAACACACACACACACTCACACACTATGTAGCTAAGGATAGCCTTGATCTTCCTCTTCACTTGAGTGCTGAGATTACAGGAATGTGTCTCCATGCCTGATTTAAGTAAGCAGCGCTGAGGATCAAACCCAGGGCTTCTTCATGCCTCCTAGCCAAGCACACTACCAACTAAGCTCTGTCCCAGCTCCTCAATCCTTTAGAGCCAGGGCTCCGGAATTTAGAGCATGGCCAAGACACCTTCACTTAGATTGAATCCGTTCCTCCCCACAGGGATCCCAGTTATTCATTCACTCAGCCAAGCAGGCCGTTCCAGTCAGGGGTCTGATCTGTAAAACAGGGTGTTAAGCTCCAAACCCCGCCCCCAAGGGGCGGGGAGAAACTGAGCCTATGACCCGGCCGGCCGGGCATGTTGCTTCCCTGTCCCCTCAGGCAGCTCTGGCTATCAGCAGTCCTCAAGCTGCGTGACCTTCTCTGAACTGTGCAGCTTAAGGGAAAAGGCCAGGGTGATCGATGGTTCTAGTAGGCTGGCAGCAGGCTCCAGGTCCAGTGACCAAATCAATGGTGCTCAGGGATTCGTCTGGGTTTACGCTGGGAGGGGTACCGGGATGGAGAGAAGAGCAGAGACAGGGAACTCGGCAGGTGGGCAAGAAGAGCTGGGATGCGCTGGGGGATGCCCCTTTTGGATTTTTTTGTTTTAAATTTATTTATTTTATTTATGAGTACACTGTAGCTGTCTTCAGACACATCAGAAGAGGGCATTCAATCTCATTATGGATGGTTGTGAGCCACCATGTGGTTGCTGGGATTTGAACTCAGGACCTCGGGAAGAGCAGTCAGTGCTCTTAATCGCTGAGCCATCTCTCCAGCCCCCCCCTTTTTGGATTTTTTGAGGGACCTTTTCCACATGTAGCGGAGACTAGCCTTATACACACAGTGTAGCCCGGGTTGGCCTCAGACTCAAAGTACTGGACTATAAGGCACGCCCTGCCACACTGGGCTCTTTTAAAATTCTTCAATGAGAAAGTGGAGGTCACAGGGCAGATGCCAGGGGCTAAGAAAATGAAGCATCAGGACTGGAGAAGCAGAGGGGAACCTCTGTCACCTCAGCTCTGCCTGAGCCTTGGGG